GTGAATTTGTGTAATTTGTGTTACTCTTAAAATGTCCAAAACAAAAACATTCTCACTTTGTGGCTTTATTTCTCAGAATTTGCTAAAGTGCAATGAACATACAGCAATAAAGGGGAACACACATGCTCAACTCAAACTTGTCAGCCAGGACCATGAAGATGCATCTTATTTATAAATTTTATTTCATGAACTCTTTCCATGTTTACATTGTAGGAGTGGGGCTTAAGGTGGTATTAAGCTTCTCCCACATCTCTCATACACAAGTTTATGAGGAAAACTTTACCAAGGTATTTCTCATTACTTTTAATATCTTGACTGTGCAAAGTGAAAAGTGACACAATAAGTGAACATTCAGATGAGTTCAAGTTGATTCATAAAAGACTATTCAATCATTTATTTACACAAATTGAACAAATCATAAGTACACTTGATTGTGGTTATTCCTATAAAAAGTGTCAAAGTTAAAATGAGATAAAATCCGCGTCCGGATTTCCATTCACATCAACTCAGATTACTTAAATAGAACAGTAAAACGTCAGTTCTGATGTTAACAACCAAACAATATTACTGCCACTTTTAGCTTAAGTTTTGGCAAATAAAGACAAGAAAAGGAGGAACATAAGGTTTTTAAGTCACTACTATTTTTACTTTATCAAAGTGTGGTTCAACCGGATCAGCCGTCTTTTCTGCGCTCAGGAATCCACATGACACGTCACCCCGAACACGTCAGCTTTAACTGGTGATGTCTTCTTAAGACACCCGCTTGGTAGGAACTGGCTCGCCTCCAATCAGCAAGGGAACTGATTATCGGCTCGCTTACTGGTCATTGGCGATGTAGGTGTTTTRCAGGTAACTTTTCGTCTGTTTCAGTCCAAGCCAGAAAAATTCAAGCTGTACATCCGGTCCCTTCTTTTCAAAATAAAATCTCCCCACGGGAGTTGAAAACACACTTAGAGGCTTGAAGCTTCAGGTGGGACAGCCGGCTGGCGTGCCGGGCCCCGGCTGTTAAGTCTCCCCTAGTTAGTTCATGGGCTCAGACTTAAAAGCCGAACCGAGTTCTCCGGAGAGAAACTCAGCTTTCTTCCTAGTTCGGAGTCAGGAAGAAGAGTGTGTCACTCAAAGACGTCCGGGTTAGTAAAAGAAACGGACAACCTTTGGTTCCGCCCTCAGCTTAGAGATGAGTCAGAGAAAGCAAGATAAGAGATTTGCCAGCAGCGCCAGCTCAAGGTTAAAATTCTATGGCTGTTCACAACAGGATGATAACCTTTCTTCAGCTTTCTTCTGATAGACTCTAAGAGAAATCACTGCAAAACATTTATGAAGATTAATTAACATTTCTGTCTTATAATCAGTTCTGAAACTTCTGTTAGTCCAGGTAAATGAAAGATTTTCTCAAGAAAAATCCACAATTATATTACTG